GGACCGGAATAAGATCTCTTTGTCAGGTAGGTTTCTGCACCGTGTCCCTTAAAGCCATGTTCTGGTACTAGGCATTAAGGTCTTATCTCCATGTTTCTTCCAAGTATTGAGACTATTCCATTCCTGCTACTCCAAGTTCTGCTTAAGATCCTCTGGGGCACATCAAAACCAATCCTCCACTTATTGCTGGAAGAAATCGGCCATAGTTGTCCAGAAGCATTTGAAGTATTTTATACTTAGAAAGATCAGCTTATGACCAACTTCACTGACTAAAGTCGACTACAGTATTGTCTACAGCAGAATTAATTCATAAGGTACAAAAATGTGACCATAGCTTAAAATGAACAGAATTAATGTGCATTTAATTCTGTTAATTAATGTGCATTTCCCATTAACTTAAACACTTCTTAACATAAATGATCATAAAGTGAAGCACCCACTTTTGATTGATTGCACAGCTAGGAAGGAATAGGTGGACAATGGAAAGCCTTGGAAATGGCTACCACTGCTTCTGTGATTGACTTTACTTGATCATGTCAGGCAGCAGGATTCTGGCCAAGTGGTTCAAGTGGTTTTGAACGAACACACACACACACACACACACACACACACACACACACACACACACACACACACACACACACACACACACACACACACACACACACACACACACATATCATGGATTTTTCACAAAAAGTTCCAACATGTGAAAAATGCACCAAGCCTCCTATAATCTCACCCTCCAGGACATTTCATGTTCTCACCTGCAAGAGTGAAAAGAGTACATTCTTGCATATTTAGATGAAAGGCAACATAATAATTGACAGTGAGCAGCCAAAGCGTTGTGCTCCTTAAGACGTGGACAGTGAATATCCCATTGGCCTGGGTCTAAGATCCATCAGAGGTAAGACCAAAGTTACTGAATGTTGGTTCTTGACCTTAGTCCAAGATATGAACCCTATTAAACTTTCAAGGTGTAAAATAATAGGGTGCAGTGTAAGCTGAACCCACTCACCCAGTACATGAAAACAATGAGATGGGCTGCAAAAGCACCTCTGATGCTCCAAGTGAAGAGCAATACAGATGCATCTGAGGTACAACAACCATCCTCCATTTCAGAGGAGTGCAAACTCCCAACAAGATAGTAGCAAGCAGTTCTCTAACAATGTACAGTTCTAGTGGCTTCTGCCATTTTGATGATTATCCTTCATCAGCTTCATATTCACCATTCAGGAGGCCAATGCCAATTGCAGAATCAATTTTCTACCTTTCTACCTCTTTTTTCACACATTTCTCATTTGGGTCGATAAGGTTTTTTTTTACCCATTGTAATTTATTGCTACTGCTGATGAAAGAATAAAGTGAAAAGTGGGGAACGTAATCAAAGCTAATCACAAGGCCAAATACCATGTGACAATAAATCAGCAGGAAAAATTGCACAGGAGATAAATGGAGGTGTTTACAATTTCAGTTTGAATAGTGCTGGTACAACAACTATTTGTGTAAAATACAAGGCTTCAAAGGGTAAAACAACATTCCTTTACTTTATCTTAAAAAAAACACACACCCAAAACAATAAAAGAAAATTATCTCCTGTCTAGCTCTTTGTTATGCAGATATATATTGAGGAATTTTGGTGTGGAGAAGTGACATATTAACTTCCTTCCAATCATTCCTTTGAGATGTAAATTCTTCTTTTCCTTCAAGGGAAATAAATGGGAAGAAATCATATTTTTATATGAGAGGTGATGCAGTCTGCAGTGCAAGAAATTCCCCAGGTCTGTTTCTTAACATGTTTGACGTCTTTTAAATCAGGGTCAGCAACATGCAGGCATTGGGTCCATATGTCCACTTGAACATCCCTCCAAGAAACCTCTTATGTCTTATAAGGGGTGTAAGGGTGATTTTTCCCATGTTTGGAGGGACCTCCAATGGCTCTGCCCCTCCAACACACACACATACCCCAAATCCTTTTAAAAATATTTTGTTTAGAAATATTTTGGCCACTAACAGACAGAAGTAGGGGGGGGGTCCATTTAAAAACACATACCATTTTTCAAAGACAAAAATTGGGGGAGCAGAGATCACATGAGGAAGGTCCAAAGTCCATTAATGGATATGTGCAGAACCTGGAATTCTACAGAAAGTTCTCCTTTAAATTCTATTCTATTCTATTTTTACACTGTCCGTTTAGTGTGAAGCACTACTCTGGGTGGGTGACAACAAATAAAGTGCAATAATAAATGGACGAGTAAGAAATAATCAACAGTATGAACAGAACAATCAGCAGCATAAAACAAACATATCAAGGGCAGCCCCCCAGAAGAAAGATCTGCCTTGTCCAGGTTCAGCTTCAGTCCGCTATCCTTGATCCATTCCAGAATTGAGGCCAAGCAGCACTCAAGCACCCAGACTGCATCTACTGTAAAGGGTGTAAAGGAGAGATAGAGTCCAGATCTCCAGATGACCTCTCCCAGAGGCTTTACATAGGTATTAAATAGCAGTGGGGAGATTGATGACCTCGGGACACCCCACAATTGAGGGTCCAATGGGCCAGCAATTCCTCTCCAAGCTGCACGCTCTGGACATAATCACTGAGGAAGGAGTGAAGTCAGCTGAGCACCAGCCCCCAGCCAGATCCACAAACTTGACAGTCTGTCAAGGAGGATAATGTGATCAACAGTATCAAAAGCCAGACTATCAATAGATTAGCCTAGTTGAATAGTTCAACATCACCTCTGAGATGAACTCAGTCTACCCTCAAAGGCAGAGTGTTGGGTCATGGGGAGAGTGGTAAACCAGGGCTACCCCAAATCAGCCCCACTGTCAGGTAGAAACATTTTAGCCCTGGGCGTGCCAGCGCAAAGTCTTGCTGACATTGATAGAATCGCTTTAAACAATAGCAGCCCCTTTGACCTGCCATGTTGCTGGTGGGCACACCTGAGACAGAGCAGCCCCTTCCTCCATAACATTGCGTCTCCATTCCTTTTACTTGTCTCCTTCACTATCAAAATGTATATATTTGTAAACTTCTTGGGGGAAAAAAGATCTCTGAAAAAGAAGGAAGGAAGGAAGGAAGGAAGGAAGGAAGGAAGGAAGGAAGGAAGGAAGGAAGGAAGGAAGGAANGGAAGGAAGGAAGGAAGGAAGGAAGGAAGGAAGGACAGACAGACTTTCAATTATTAAGGGCACTGGCATACTACTAATAATTTCAGTATTTGGGTTACTTTGCTGGTAAACTAGGATGGTGGTGTTGGATTTCATCTTTAATACATGCAGGCTGGGTCACTGGTAACTGCTGTACACAATGTAGGGATAGGCGTTTAAAACCAATTGAAACTGATCTAGCTGAGACATGAAGCAGATTGCTGAAAACTCCATCCTGAGCTTTCACAATAAATGGAAACAAATCCACCAAGCATCAAAGTAGTCTTGGAAAGAATAGGTTTGTTTCAACACCGTTTTGGTAAATGATCTTCAACATTTCTTTGAAAGGCAGGCATTGCAATCCACTCTGGGTGAAATCAAAGGCAAAATATCCATTGACTGTCACAGAGGTGGGATGAGACCATGCAAGATTGTATTTCAGAGCTTCAGAAAGGTGGGTTTGGACACTGGGGTGGGTGAGTGGGGTTGCACCACAGTTCCCAGGATCCCCCATGCTGCCTGGGATATTTTGTTAGGGTAGCCATATGGACTCTTTTAAGGAAGACAGACTCCAAGTTGAAACGTTCCCAGAAGGCAGCCTCTGTTTTGAAGTCCAGTCAAAGTCTGATTGGAAGTTGAAGAAGAGAGACCAGGGATGCTAAAGTTACCCACCCAGAGTTGGTCTCCTGGACAACAGAAGCAGCAGATACAAATGTCACTGAGTCACTTTGCTTCTCATTTAGGTGGGATGCACTGTATTTCCGTTAAAATTATAAAATTCGTTTCTAATTTTGCGCCTGTACATACACAATTTCACGCAAACCAACATCATTTTTTGTCTTATCTTTTGGTGACACCTCTCCTCTTTTTTGATTATGTGAGAGTGGCCTCCCTAGTTTCCGGGAGTTAACAGTCCAAAAAAAAGCAACTTTCACAAGCTACAACTTTCCCCTCAATGTGGTACATGCTGTGTATTCCAGTTGGCAGTGGCATCAGCCTGAAATCATTTCTCTTACCTGCTACCTATTCTTTCTAACATAAGGGAAAACATTAAGGGAGTTTTTGTAAGGAAAATGGATATTTGAACACAGTTATGATCCCTGTCCCAGTCTCTATTCTGTGTGTATTTCTGCAACATTCACTCTGAAATGATGCAGCACTTGATGAAAATAATGCATTAATTCATTCTAATCAAAGCTACTACTAAAGTACAGCAATTGGGGCTTTGCCCTGGGGTACCCAAATTTAGTTATTCACCATCAAGTTGCATTTGATCTACGACAATTCTAATAAGGTTTTCAAAGTATGTGAGATACTTAAGGAGCAGTTTTACTTGCACCACTCAAGTGAGTTTCTATGGCAGAGTAGGAATTTCAGTTCAGGTCTCCTGACTCCTAGTCCAAAAATCTCTCTCCTGTCAAATAGAAGGTGGAAAAATTCAGAGGGAAGTCAACTGGAGAGTGTCAGGGAAATAAATGTCTCCCAATGCTTCTTACTGTCTGGGGAGCTCTCCTTAGGGGTAACCCAAGCTGTCCCATCAAATGAGGCAGGAAGGAAAGTGCTGATTTTCTAACATTGCTCCACCAAAATGTCTGCCTCTAAAAGAGACAGAGGAAGCTCACACTCTGGAAAAAAAATGAGGATGCCAAAATTGTTACTTAAAGGCTCTCTTCCTCATTCTCCTTTAGCAGCACTCTAAGTTCACATTTTAAGCATGGTATCTTATTGCAACCATAACCACAACCATTTATCAAGATAGCACAGTGTATCTTACATTATATAATTATAATAGATGGATGCTTTCAGAAGAAAGGTGCAGCAAAAATATTTCAAATGAATAAATAAATAATACCTTTGGATACTGTTTGACAGGAATCAATACTCTTTCAGACAGCTTTATATTTTTGTTGCTGATGACATCAAGATATTTCTTTTCTTCATCGTCCTTCTTTTCCTCAGAACTCTGGAACTTTTCAATTTCTGGGAAGATTGAATAAAAAAATACACAATGAGACTGTTATTATTTGTGAGAGGCTTATTTTCTTGTTTGGAATTTGCATTATTCTGAAAGAGAGAGAGAGAGAGGAGAGAGAGAGAAAGAAACTTACTGGTATAATATTGTTATATGTTTAATATGTCTCCCATGATTAATTGTGACAGTCTTTTCAATGGTATCAGAACATTTGATTAGGGTTATCATGTCTCAGATTCCTCACCGAATTGCTGTGCTTCTTAATGTCCACAGGGCAAGAGACAATTCTCATAGTGAGCAGTGTTAAGAGGAGGAGAAAATTTAATTGTTGTGTATGAAGTAGTTTCATAAGAGAGGTGGCCAATTCTGCTTTCCCCCAGCAGCCATCAAGGCTCACTGGCTCAATGCAAAGATATCTGCTGCCAAAAAAATCAGGAGGAAAGGAGGAACAGTGGAAAGAGGTAGCAGGCACATGCACTAGGGTCCATCATGTGCTTTGAAGCACGAGGTCTTAAAATCACCACTCCTGAGCCTTCTTGTTGTTTCTTCCCTGGCAACAGTGACAAAGAGCTTGGAATAAAGTCTCTCTGTAGACAGGCAATGAGCCTTCCTCAAGCCCCAGCAAACAGCACAGAGCCTAGAAATACCCTATATGTGACATGTACTATACATAAAGCTTTGTGAAATAGAAATGTATAGCCAGAATGGCAGCAACTGCGGAAGCTGCTACATATATATTGTTGCCTGCCTAGCCACTAAAAACAAAAAAGGACTTTTCCCAGTGGCACTGGGATATCATGTAACCTGGTAAGCCAGGTTTTCTTTAAGTTCTGCTGTACTCAGGAGATGCAAGCCCTATTTAGGCAGTCAAAATGGACTTTTCTCAGTGGCACTGGGATATCATGTAACCTGGTAAGCCAGGTTTTCTTTAAGTTCTGCTGTACTCAGGAGATGCAAGCCCTATTTAGGCAGTCAATGAAAGAATTAATATTTAATCCAACAACAGGGGGAGCAGGCTACCTCTCTAGAGCTTCTGTATGGAAAGTTACATCTTTAGAGAAGAGCTGTCTCGGCACCTGGACTATGTCCACAAGGTCAGAAAAAAAATATTTCAGGTCATCTGATCATCAACAGGGGGAGCAGGTTACCTCTCTCCTTTCTAGAGCTTCTATATGGAAAGTTACATCTTTAGAGAAGAGCTGTCTCGGCACCTGGACTATCTCCACATGGTCAGAAAAAAAATGATATTTCAGGTTACCTAATCACATGGCTAGCCCTATGTGTAGAGACTGCTCTTCTCTCCTAGCTATCTACTAAAGATGGGCACTTACTGCACCTCAGTGCAGTTAACTGGAGTGAGCCCACAGGAGATATATGGGTGCCCCAGATTCCATACCCTGCTCCCTCCTGTGGGTGCCCCCTCAGGAGCAGCACTATGGGCTTTCCCGCCCTGCCTCCTCCTCTGACTTGGTGCCCACAAAAGGAGGTGGAGTGTGGAATCTGGAGTGCCTGCCCAGTCTACCAAATGTGGGCTCAATCTACCAAATCACACCTAATCACCAAATTGCAGTAAGTGCTCGTCTCTACTCTCTACCCATGGGAGCTAGGACAGAGGAGGTGAGGCTAGCCTGCTCCCTTTGCTCATGGACTGAGGTTAACCCTTTTGTTGAGCACCTTGATAGGGTTACACCCAATTTAGAAGAGTGGAAGTCTACGCCATGTCAATGAAGCAACTGCATCCCGTATGGCAGTGGTTCTTAACCTTGGGTTACTCAGGAGTTTTGGACTGCAACTCCCAGAAGCCTTCACCACCAGCTGTGCTGGCTGGGGGTTCTGGGGGTTGGTGGAAGTCTACACCATGTTAACGAAGCAAATGCATCCCTTATGGGAAGTAGGGAGATTCCATCTGTGTTCCAATGCCATGGCTTCATTTGTTTATTACATTGTGTGACACCACAGTTCTTCCTCTTGGTAGACTATCTGCTCTGACAATTGCTGGTATTTTCCCACTTCCTTTATAATGGTAATTTCCAAGCTTTACATCCTGATGTATTCCTGATCTCCCTGGTCCCTTGTTCCTGCACCACTACCTCTTTATACCTATCCCTGCACTGTTGCGGTTACCTCTATCTTTGCCACCACCAATACAAATGGGATTAGTGCCAGTGCCTCCTCAAATGCCAACATTGGGTCTTCCTGCTCCTTGCCTTACCATTGCCTCTTGACACCTATCTCCATGCTACGGCTTCTCTCTTTTCTTAAATGATGATTTAAAAATGGAGAAGTATCAAACTATTTACCTTGTGTAGTAGATAGAGTGATGGCCTAGGGCTCAGGAGGCCTGGGTTTGAATCCCTGCTTCCCTTTCACTGGGGAAGTGGAACTGGTAAAGCCAGTCCTTAAACCTCTCATTTATCTTGAAAGCCCCATTTGGGTTGCGATATATTAGTTCTGCTTGATGGCACATCACCATAGAGCAAAGCCATAGAGCAAAACTGCGCTCACATGCACACAAAGGTGCTGGGACATTTCTGAATTCTTTTAAAGGGCAAACCTCTGACTGGAGTGTATTGGAAATATAAAGGCCAGTGGATAATCCAGTTCTAATCTGCATCATCTTGGACCATGTGTGTTAAGTATTAGAATTTTTTTTAAAAAAGATCAAGACTCTTCAGATGTCCATCTGTATAGTGACGGATCTATCATTTTTTTCTCTGCCCTTTTTCCAAGTGACAAGAAGTTTATGGCCTGCCTCTGCTCTTGTTGTGAATGCTGTGTGTTGCATTTAGTCATGGTCGGTGTCTCTAAATGTGTGTGGTGTGTGGCTCATGAAACAGGTGTTTCACAAAATGGAAGTGAGCATTACAGCCAATCTGGTCGATGCTTCCTCTTGACAGTGAGTGGCTGCCTGGACAACCAGCGTCTTTGTGTGTGCATTTCTAGGGCCAGTGGGTCTAACAGCCTTTTTAATCCAATCAAGGGATGATACAGGTCAATCCATACTGGCTTTGTAAAGTCTCTAAGCTGCCTCCCACACCAAAGCCTCTGCTGACTTGAGTGTCTCTAATCTAATGTTTTGGGCTTTGGATCAATACTGAGAAATAGGGGGCATACACCTAGGAAAACATAAATTGTCTATTTATGAGTGCAAGAAGCAATATAGCTGAAGCTCTGATTCTGCATGAGGGGGCCTATTAAGAAGTGGAAGTTGCAAGCACTGTAAAACTACTGGGATTCTGCATCTGAAGCAAGGGGATGCTGCTTATTCTCTTCTTGACTACAACTTCACCTGCTTCTGTCTTCAGCACGTATACTGAGAACAGCTGGGCCTAAGCCGTGAGCTTTGGGTCAGATTAAACTCTTTGTTTCAAAACAATGATGAATAAACATAAGGCATTCTATTACCCTACTTCTCTGCTATTTGATTAAAAACATTAATTATATTTAATAATGATCTAGGAACCTGAAATATAATTAGGAGCCTACTGAAGCAACCACATCATAATTCCTCTCATGTATGAGTTATCCATGCATAATTGTTGGCTTTATGAAAGCTTTATAATTGTCCTCCTCAAGAGAGTAGAAACATACCTTCACTCCTATTTTGTTAGAAAGAGAGAGAGATTGAGAGAGAGAGAGATGGCTTTGTTCCCACCCCACCATTGGTTTCTGATGCTGCATCTAAGCCCCTTGTTATGTTACTACCTCTGCACAGGAATACCTGATAATAATCTGGCAAGCCTAATAACTGTCCAGAAAAAATGGGGGGGGGGGGGGNGAGCGCAAGCGACCAGGGATTCACTCTCCCTTCTCCTTTGAGCAGTTCGAATTTCCAGGACGGTTTTACACTTTTCTCAGACAGCAGAGATCGAGCAGGGATTCACTTTCCCTTCTCCTCTGAGCAGTTGGATTTTCCAGGACAGTTTTACACTTTTCTCAGACAGCAGAGATCTGGAGACTTGTAGTATACTTATCATACCTATTTGCTCACAAATATATAGATTTTATAGAGAAGAAAAAGGCACAACAGCATCCTAGAGCTGAAGAAGTGTCAGTCACCTCTCACAAAGCAACAGAACCTCTGTGTAGTATTTCACTCTCCCCAACACACATTTTTGTGGAGTTGTATATGACTCCACAGAAATTAGTTGGGGGAACAAAAGTGGCAAAATCCATTACCGGCAATTTAAAAAGAATCTTATTCAGGGTTTGCAGATCTGTGTAAAGCACACAACTAACAACAACAATAACAGCAGCAGCAGCAGCAATAACCACAACCAGGTTAGAAATGCAGAACTGGAATGAACTCTATAGATCATTAAGCCCAGCCCCTGTCAAAGCAGCATAGTGGAGAACTGAATGTCCAGCTAGAAATGGAGGTTTCACATTCGTATAAAAATATGAAGCCTGCCAGCACAGGTGGCCACCCGATTAACACCCACAGCAGAACCCACCAGGATACAAGGCCAGCCTGATTAACACCCTCCCCTAGAACCCGTCAGACCACTGTGCACAAGGCCGGCATCATCTTCAACACCCCAATCCTGGTAGTAGCCGGGTTGCCACAGCCCTGACTCCCGGCTTGCCCAGCCACTCCAGCAAAGGGGCCAGAGGATGAGTCTCCCTGCTCAGCCACAGAGTGGCTAGGCAAGCAGGGAGGCGGGGCTGTGGCACTGCCATGATCGGGATGCTGAAGATGACACTGACCATGCATGCCGCATGCCATATGGTAAGTGGTCCAGCGGGTTCTGGGGGGGGGGTTAATCAGGCCAGCCACCTATGCTGGTGGGCTCCATATTTGTGTACAAATATAACCCCCCCCCAATCTCTACTCCTAACCTCTGGCTCCACTTGAGCTATCCAGCAAGTCAAGGAAAAGAGCATGCTAGCCATCTTTGTCACTCATTTCCACGGCCTTCTACACGTGGAAGACAACTTCTGAATGGGGAGTCTCTCTCCCTGTGATTTGATACCTGGATTTTCCAGGGTTCCAATTTTGTGGAGAGTC